AAACAGCAATTACTAGTATTTCCAAATAAACTCCATGTGCCGATCTTAGATTATTCACAGCTACTGAACACATCTTAAAAACAATTACAACTAATAATCCAGTCTAGAATATTAATCAATTATTTCGTACTGTTACACCACTGTCCCAGGTAAGTGGGCCCGCTAACATGTTTAACCCCGCCACATTATGTATGGCTGTGCCTGTCCCAAGCCAGGAGCCTGTAATTCAGTGGTTATCGTGCTGTTGCTGTGCTTTTGTTCATTTTTCTGTTCATTAATTAGGCCGTTAGATTTGTTGTTTTAGTTGTTTTTCATTTGTCATTCTGTGGTCTCTTAGAGCTGACTATGCGGTATGGGCTTTGCTCATTGTTGAAGGCCGTACGGTGACCTATAGTTGTTAATTGCTGTGTCATTTGGTCTCTTGTGAAGAGTTGTCTTATTGCAAATCATACTACATCTTTTGTTTTGTACATATCACAAATTTAGTATAAAAAGTACATAAACAGTCTAGAAAAGCAAGACCTTTTGTCATGTCAAAAGCACAGAGCAGATTATTTGTAGTTTCTATGAAATGTAATAATAATTTATCGGCAAAAGATCTTTGATAATTTGTTAGTGGAATTATATATAACTAAATAAATGAATATTCATTATAAAAAGAAACATCAGAAACAAGATTATTTGTCCATTAGATTGCACGCCAGTATCACATTTTCGTGTTAAGTGAGCTCTAAATCCAGGAAAAAATCCAATTCAGTATACATACTTAAACTTTTAAATCTCAAGCGAGATGTCAAATGTTCAAACATTGTTGTTTTTAAAACGTATTTATCAAAGTCAAACGACAGTCATTATATTTTTTTTGGTGCTATACAATTTTTGATTAAGGCTGGATCCAAGATATTTAAAAGAAGGTGTAGTTCCCGATAATTGAATTCATACTGCCGAGCGTAGCGATACCAAAAAAAAATTGGACGATTTTATACTAAAAATTTGTATAGATAACGTGGAAAACGTGAGATTTTCAAAATTATTTGGCGATCGAAAGGGGGGAGTACCCCCTCTACCCCTGTATCCCCGAATGCATGTTAGGTATACATGGACAAAAACCTCGTCCCATGCATTATTATAGTTAAAGACGAAAAGTTCTATTTGATAAATGTATAAATGATATGAATTTCTGCCCACGTCAAATTATCTGGAATAATAATTTTAAAAAAAGTTAGTCGCGTACACCTTTTTCATTTGGGTGTGTTGGATTCTACTTTTAAACATTAAAACTTATAAAAACAAAAACAAAAAGATAACATTCTTGCTTCGGATTTCATACTTTTAATATTTTCATGCTAAATTTTTACTTGGTAGTTTTTAAAATTCATATTTTGAGAAGAACTGAAATATGGGTCAAGTGAAATGACAAGACATGATGGGTGCATTTGATTACAAGTTGCTAGCTTACTTATTCCATTAAAATATTTATGTCGATAAAATCATTCAAAATTTAATAACAAAATATTTAAAGATTAAAAAAAGTAGTTTGGGTTGATTTTTACATTAAGTCTATATCAGCATAAAATGCCTGTTCAAAGAGAAAAAAATACATGAAGTGTATGCTCCCCTCCGTAATGCTTCAATGCAATAGGACGAAATACGTTGAGTTAGGTCGGTTATGTCGAGTAAAGTCATTTTATTGGAAATCTCTATAAAGATTTAACATACTCAACGACTTGGGTTTTCAATTCTGCTATGTTAAATGAATTTAATTGGCAGTAATGTTGAATATTTAGTTGTCTAGTGACTTCTGGTTTGTGGTCTAGCCTGTCTAAAATAACACAATTTGATATTTTATTTGCCTTTTTTATTACTATTGTTTTATCATTTTTCAATCTGCGTAGTGCTATTCTTTCGCCCTTAGAGAGATTGTTTTTTTATAGTTTTTTTTTCTATTGGTAGAAAAGATAAATCAAGCTGCGTTAAATTGATATAATTTTCCAACGTATGGCAAGTAGAAGCAGGTTTATATCCTGTATTGCGGAGAAATGGATGAAGGTCAGTTTTTTCTTGAATATATATATATATATATATATATATATATATATATATATATCGACATCGTTGTTTTCTAGCAAATTCCTTGTAGTCTTTTAGTATAGACATTTTTGCACTTTTACTTGATGGCGTTGGTATAAATTTCAAGCCGTTCACCTGCAGGATATATTCCTGATTTGATAATTTGCGTTTTAATAGAATAATTACAGGTTTATTTACATGTGCAGCTCTTTGCTGCATATTATATTCATTCCGTTCTTTTTAATTGTAGAATCATAATTTTTCCTTTTAGCATTTCTATCAAAACCACGTGCCATTTTTGAGTTCACATTGGGTGATTCTCTTAGCTACGTGCCTTTGTTTTGTTATTATAAAACACCCGTGCACGCATCCCATATTGCCTGATAGAACCCGACACTATTTTTTTTTTTTTTTTTTTTTTTTTGAATAGTAGTCATGAGATTGATTGATCTTTGTTGTTAAACGCCACTTGTAGCTCACTTGCCTGTATCGATGCGGCTAGTTGTTATTGGCAGAAGAAGACGGATTGGCCGGTAGGAACCACCGATCTTCGGAAGGAAAACTAATAATCCTCATCTGGTAAAATCGGAGTCGCTCACCATCTGCAGGGTTTGAATTCACAACAGCAGTATTGAGAGGCTAGTGATACAGTAGATGAAATGAACTACTTAGCCCACTCGGCCACCAAGGCTCCGTCATGACTTGAAAGAATTGTGTTTACTTTTAAACTCAAATCTCCAATATTTATTATATATTTATTATTCGGCTCCATCGAAAAACTTCGAAAAAAAAGTTTGTATCAAATAACATTCAATAAATAAATGAACTATAACGTCTTCAAACTCTACTTGAAAGAACTTTTTTAATTTTTGTTCACTTAATGAAGCAAAGTGTTATTTCATTTGTTATATATCTAGCGTAATTAGATCTGCATTTAAATTACTATTATGATTTAATACCTCAAATAATTCCACCTACAAATAATTACGAATGTAATTAAAACATTTTGACAAATTCACAACAAATGTAGAATACTGACATTTTAACGAACGAGTGATCGTTTTTTTTATAGATTGATTTGTTTTCAACTAAACGAAAACCAGAATTGCCGAATTTTATGAAAATATGATGTGATTTGAAAAGAGGTAAAGACATTCTCAAAGTTGACTACCGGTATCGGAACTTTTTCGCAGCTGAATTTTTCACTGTTCATGATCACCTGTAGGTAAAAAAGTAGTATTACATTTTCCTTGCTTTAGGTTGGCCTTTTGTGTACCCAAGGCAGGTGAAGGAAGTCAACTTGGGAGCGCTGTGATTGGATGTAAGGGTACAATATATTGTTTTATTTATCTATGAATAACTGCAGTGTGTATATTTACAATATAAACTGTGAAATCCATTGAAATATTTTCTTGAGAATTATTTGAAAAGTCTTCAAAAAATTCATAAATTTGATGTAAAATGACGGTGGGCATGGATAACATAAACAAGCTCCGTTGGAAGATGGTCATGATACTATTTGACTTCAATTTCTAAAACAGAATAATAAAGTACTAATACCACACATAACTGTTTTTTACAGGTTTGTATTATAAAAAGTGGTAAATTTAGAAAACGTTAGTATTGTCGCCTATGGCAGAATAAATACTACCGTTTTCCCTATACTGAAGATAGCAAGGGAAATCAAAATTAATCAGAGTTCAGTTATATTGTACTATTTTAAAGCTTTTGATTAGTACATTTGATTTTTGTCACCATGAATAGAATTTGTTTACCGAGACCAATACTGTGTTGAGAAAAGTGCTGAGTCTTCACGATAAGTCAAATTGATAGGTACTGATATAAAACTTATTCTAGGATTTCAAAATTAACTATATTGTATAAAATGCACCAAACTCTAGTTCTTTTGTATTTGTTTTCACCTTTCGCAATGATTAATTCAATTGGAAAAACCAGAATTCTAGTCTCGACAAATATTTTTTACTGAAATATTTGCCTTTGTGGCTGTACATGTGGAATGCCCTAAATGTATCACTTGGGTATTTCCAAATACATAATCTATTAAAATTTGAAATTGTCTGGTTTAGTTTGTACTGTTTATGTAGTAAGGCAATATTTGGTCAAAATAGAAGCATTTTCAGTGTTAAAATTGTCCATCTAAGAAAAAAAGAGGCCCAATTGAGGCTAAATTTAGATAGAATTTATACTCTCCTGTGTAAAGAATTGTTCACATTCTTGGCAGTTCATGCAGCAAATATTTCAATAGTGCTTCATTTTGTAGTTTCTATCTTTTAATATATCAAACATATATAATTTTTCATTTTATACTGTTTGAAAGGACTATTGTTGGAAATGAATACTCCCAAGGGACATAATTCAGCTTTTTCATAGATTAATACAGGCAACCCAGCAGGCACACAACGTTGAACCAACGTCGAAAATATGTTGAAATTTGGTAGTAGCGTTGATCAACGTAAAATCAACGTTGTATCAACGTCAATCCTATAAACGTTTAAATCACATTGTTGAATCAACGTTGATTTGTGGTTAAAAATATCAACGTTGAACTGTCAACGTTGAATCAACATTGCATTTGAGTTAATGCTTTCAATGTTTTGATAGGTTGAAATTATAACGTTGATAAAAGGTTTATTTAAGGTTAATAATTTGGAATTCACTAGAACATGGTATTGTTTTACATATTGATTTTCATTATTGATTTCTCTTTTTGTTGATTTTTTTTATTACTCTAGAAACCCCAAGTCATGCCATAGATCTTCCGTGGGTATATTTATGAAATATCCCCTCCAACAATGTTGTGACAAAGACAAATAAAATCCTTCCTGTTCAAATAATCACATTTTATTGTTACTTGTTATTATATTGGTTTACTGATGTTTTTGAATAAAATCAATGATTACTGTTTCATGTGTATATAAATCTTCAAATTTACACGATAAGAGCGAATGAATTAACTTACGCGAAAGAGATTTCTTTTTCTAATTTGCGCATGCGTATGAGGCCGACATTTCGAATTTATTTGCGCCAATATGATTACCACAACAAGTTAACAGTTGCTCGAAGCAGTGCAAAGTAAGTATAATTTTCATTCATTGTTTGCTTTAATAATAGTTAAATGATAATTTAATGTAAACAGCATCATTTTTATTGTAGCTGTAATTATTCGCTTTCCCCGCAAGTATGGCAAATAATTATAACCCCTTTTTTGAAGTTCACCTATGTAATCTCAAACTCGATATTTTATATGTTGATGTAATTAAAAGTCAAAGATTTACAACACATGGCATTCTTGACCTTGAAATACATTTAAAACAAGTAAATTATTTTCTCTGCATCAGAATAGATGTCACTCACAGCATGTATTCCGAAGATTTACTAATCATGTGAAGCAATACGGTGGATAAGAAACACGTGTGACCATAACAAATTAATACACAATCTGACCAATTTCAAAGTGGTTTATTTGATACTGAGTTATGATAAAGTCGAAATAGATGCTTGCTCAATTGACCGTACTGAATTATTACAGCCCAAACAATTCAAGGAAATAGACAATATTCCTTTAGTTTTAATATTTAAACATAACCCATATGCATGTATACGTAAAATTAAAAAAAAGACGTATCACATCGGAAAGACTTGAATTTATTGCAGTTTGAAGAAGAATGTAAACTTAGGGTTAAAGTTGAACTACTGCTTGCGTGTAGCAAACATGCTGAAAATATTAATTGATGAAATATTTAAATATATAATGAAATATATCAATAAAATAAATTATACATGAATAAAATGAGAATGGAAATGAGGAATATGTCAAAGAGACAACAACCCGACCAAAGAGCAGAATAATGAATAATATTCATTTTGAATTGTATGAAAGTAAATAAACTCATCATAGATACCAGGATTGAAATTCTATATTTACACCAGACGCGCGTTTCGTCTACAAAAGACTCGTCAGTTACGATCGATTCCAAAAATGTTTAAAAGGTCAAATAAAGTACGAAGTTGAAGAGCATTGAAGACCAAATATTCCTATAAGTTTTGCCAAATACAGCTAAAGCATCTTAAGGTGACCACCCAAAGCTTTATCTGCCGAAACGCGTTGTTTTAAGGTTGTTATACTAACAACATAGGCGGGTCCCCCTTTTATGGAAAAAATTTGGTTGATTATAAATGGAATCACTGAAGCATGAATTGAGCGGGCCCCCTCTTAGGGCAGTCAGTGGGCAAACCCTTATGAAAATTTTCGGGATTCGCCACTGAACAATATGAGTTGTTGCTGTAAAGATCTCGGTGCTTGTGGGGCATTACTGTATCTCAAGATGAAAAACTGTCAAGATATTGGTGCTTGTGAGGCCTTATTGTATCACAAGATGAGTGACTGTCAAGATCTCGGAGCTTGCGTTGCAATATTGTATCTCAAGATCAGTGACTGTCAAGATCTCGGTGCTTGTGGGGCATTATTGTATCTTAAGATGAGTGACTGTCAAGATCTCGGTGCTTGCGGTGCAATATTGTATCACAAGATGAGTGACTGTCAAGATCTCGATGCTTGCGGTGCAATATTGTATCTTAAGATGAGTGACTGTCAAGATTTCGGTGCTTGTGGTGCATTATTGTTTCTCAAGATGAGTGACTGTCAAGATCTCGGTGCTTGTGGTGTATTATTGTTTTTCAAGATGAGTGACTGTCAAGATAAAATAAATTGAAATGCCATTAGCTTATTGTGAGATCTTCAATCTATCATTTAGGATTAAAATTAATTCTAAAGCCCTTGGTCCCAGAGGCGAACCTTTTGAGGGAAAAAATTGGTTGACTGTAAATCACTGAAGCATGACTAGAGTTTGCCCCCTCTTATGCACTCAGTGGACGCCCTTATAAAAATTTCCGGATCCCCACTGATTCCCGAATCTTGTTGGATTCTACAGGACAAATTTCCCTTAATGCTACAATAAAAATAATTGAACTTTAAGATTTTCAACCAAATTGTGAAAGGTTTTGGAAGTCCAAATTTTGTAAGCGTTTCACACATATGAAACTTTATTTTTCTATTTCAAGTTACAGAAGGAGTTGTGACAATTTGGAAATGCTGCACTTAAAAGTGTCTTTGTTGTAGATGTCTTCACCAATAAACCCATGTCTGAAAAATACATGACGGGTAAAAAGAATAAACATGCCTTTGGTGGTTCAAGCTTTTTTGAAATAATAAGAGGTGAGTATTGAAATATATATCATTGTTTTCCACATTAAAAATTGTGTGAGATTTTGTCACAATTTCTTTTATATGTGCTCTAGCATCATTGTCTACTAAAATCTATAGGTTTTTTGTATTAAAAATGATTTTTTTATTATATATGAACTCAAGTTTAGAAAAAGCACATGGTTGCTCTCAATAGATATTTTTAAAAATAACAATATCATTGCACAGAGATTATTTGTTCACATATTACAGTCATTTGTGACAGTAGTGTTCTTTATTTGAGCTGCAAAATAATATTAACCTAGTTATGATAAAGATAGTATAATATGGTTTTTTTCTGTTGCAGATGCTATATAGCTACAAGTCACAAATGTGCAACATGGACAATAATATGGAACTAGTGTGCAATATACCTAAAATACGCCCTGAAATATCGGGAATGTGTCTAGCAAAAGGATAAACATTTTAAATAAAATTAAGTATTCAGTTTGTGTTTGTTTGAAATTGTAAGATGCATATGTGAGCAACATATTATATAATTACTGTTTTATGACACAAATATATTTTGTGTATGAACGCACATGATCCTGTCTATGAAAGTACAAAAAATGTATGCCAACTGACACTACAATAAAGTTTAAGATTATCTATGCCTGGTAAGGTTAATAAGTTGTGCCTGTTCTTCTTGTCAAGTCTTGTATCATAAACACCAGATTCAGAAGTGAGTGGTCTCATCACCAGTATAATAATTACCAAAACAAAGGGAATGACTTATTTTCCACTTAATCATAAAATTTAGCGAAATACAAAAAGGGAAATATTGGAACAGGCAGAAATCTCCTAGATAATGAACTCTGCAACATACTACATGTACACCAACCACAGACACATGACTACTACGACTTAGTACATATAGTTTTGTGAAAATTTTATTACACATAAATTGGCACTGATAATAAGTGGTAATGATTTCAGCCGTTAACCCACAATTTAACCAATGTTCAAAATCATATTCTCAACATTGACCACATTTCGAGATTCGACTTGCATTAACGCTAAGCCTAAAACAGTCTACCTGGGCCCAAATCCTACCTATTTTCAACATACACTGACCACAGTTCAACCAACATTCGACAGGTTTTCAGCATACACTGACCACAGAACAACCAGCATTCGACCTGATTTTAGCATACAATGACCACAGTTCAACCAACATTCGACATGTTTTCAGCATACGCTGAACATAGTTCAACCAGCATTAGACCTAATTTTAACATACACTGACTACAGTTCAACCAGCATTCGACCTGATTTCAACATTTACTAACCACATTTCAACCAGCATTCGACCTAATTTCAACATATACTTACCACAGTTCAACCATCATTCGACTTGTTTTCAACTTACATTGACCAAATTTAGACCAAAATTCAACCTATTTTCAACGTTGGAAGCTGACGTTTAATCAACGTTATGTTTTCAACGTCATATCAATTTTCAATCAAACACTACTTTTCAACATTGATTCAACGTTGAAATCTGACGTTTATTCAATGTTGAATCAACGTTGCTGTGCTTGCTGGGAACTAAGGCAACTTTACAGCTGTGTTTGTTGCATATTTAATGTTTAAAGTGTCCAACAGCTTTGTTTTTATCATCTCAAGACAAAATAATGGATTTTATAACAAGCTCTGAAATTTTGGACCACAATATGGCATATCCTAAAGCATGGAATGGAGATTAGTATGAAAAATCTTAAATTTGTGCTTATGTTGTAAATTTTGGATAAAATGAATACAAATTGAATGGAACTGTCATGTTTATCTGTTTAAATGGTACTGTTTACTATTTTGTTTAAAAATAAGATAGGATATGATTGGATACAGGTAGTTTATTCAGCCTTATCTGAAAGAAGCACAGAAAGAGGTAAACCAGCATGTAGGGGTGGGGACATAAAATGATCCATGTTTCTTTAAGTAATCGGGACATACAAGTATTTCTTATAGCCAAGTGTTTCACAATAACTCAGTATTGCATTGATGGTGTCATAAGAATTCTTTATATCTTTATGTCACAGTATAGGGAAAAAAGTAGTATTACATTTCCCCGGCTTTATGTTGGCCTTTTGTGTACCCTAGGCAGGTGAAAGAAGTCAACTAAGGAGCCCTGTGGTTGGATGTAAGGGTACAATATATTTTTTTATTGATCTATGAAAAACTGCAGTGTGTATATTTACAATATAAATTTTGAAACCCATTGAAATATTTTCTTGAGAATTATTCTAAAAGACTTCCAAAATTTCATAAATTTGATGTAAAATGGCGGTGGGCATGGATAACATAAACAAGCTCCGTTGGAAGATGGTCATGATACTATTTGACTTCAATTTCTAAAACAGAATAATAAAGTACTAACCCACACATAACTGTTTTGTACAGGTTTGTATTATAAAAAGTGGTAAATTTAGAAAATGTTAGTATTATCGCCTATGGCAGAATAAATACTACCGTACTGTAAAAACAAGTGTAATTTTACAAACATTTCCAATATAGCTCTTCAACGTTTTCGGTCCTTATACATCGTTGGCTTTCAAATATTCGGCTCTGAGCGTTCCTGATGAAGGTAAATCCGTTGGACGCATGAAATTTATAACGTGTTGTTTTCATTTATTTCAAACACTTGTGGAAAATCGCATATGTTTTATTTTAAACGTTAGTGTTTTAGAATAAACATGTATGCCATCAACAGTTTCATCTGATGATCGTTAATAAACTCGTTATAGAAGAGGCTATGTTGCGATTCATTGTTATATCAATATAATTCAAAAGTAGTGTGACCAGCTTCAAATACAAAACCGGACACCTTACTGAAAAAACGTATTGAAATTAAAGCTTTTTTAAACCAAACAATTCTGGAAAAGAAAAATAATTCATTGTCTTTTTGTCTATATCCCATCCCATCCCATCCCATCCCTCCATAATAGTAATACTGAAAAAATGTTAAATTAAACAGATGCACGACAGTCCTTCAGGGGTGCAGCAGGAATAAATATTGACAGAGTGTCATCGCTCAGATATAGCCAAAAAGACAAATAATCAATAAACAGACAGACAGACACTTGGGTTTTTGGTGATTTGACTTCAAGATTTCAAGTTTTATTATCCTCATACACAACGGTGTACAAGAGGCCAACAAACATACATACATACATACATACATACATACATACATACATACATACATACATACATACAGACATACAGACATACAGAGAGACATACATACATACATACATACATACATACATACATACATACATACATACATACATACATACATACAAACAAACAAACATACATACATACATATAGACATACGTACAGACATACAGACATTCAAACAGACAGACAGACAGACAGAAAACAAATATGAAAAACATTACATGTACGACAACAGGAGATAACAAACATTTAACAATCACGTGAATCTCATGGCACTTTCATTTGTATACAATACAGTCAGTTTAAAGGATATCTATTATTTGGATTGAAAGGGGCTTTAGCTGTCAAATTCATGTTCACAGATTTGACTCAAATTATCACATTTGATTTATAACATACTAAAACTTACAAAAAGTCTATTAAACAATTAACAATGCATGGACTCGACAAAATGTATCAGCATTTCGTGTGCATTCATGTCTAGACGTCATCTAGTTAACCATCAAGACTGTCAATGGTCATATTATACAACTATAGCCTTTGTATGAGGTCGATACGAGGTTATATCGATCTGAGAGAAGCATATCGACTGTCCGACGCCCCTTTAAAATAAAACAAATAAAATGTTGAAAAACCATTTAAATCAAATGCTAAACTTTTTCCGTATAAAACACTGTTAAATTATATCCGTCCGATCTGGGACTATTACACTAATATTATTAATTAGTCTAGGTCATACAGACAGCTCCTTGTCATGCTTGTCACTGATAATGTTAACTCCGCTTAGCTGGCTCTGTTTATTTTGATGCTAAGGCTAAATTGTATACCATAAATGCTTAAAAATGATCAGCTGCTTGTTTTTTAGTTATTTTGTGTTAAATGTAAATATCGAAGAACAGGAATTTCAATGAGCAGCTGTATAACCAAGCCCCCCTCCCCACTTTTTTAATGACAGTCGTCGGTATCAACAGTTAATCATCATTCAAGTAGTTTACAGACCAAACAAAAACTCTTGTACAGCTAAAGAATGTATATGTATATAAATCGAAACTGTCAAAATGTCTTCATATCCTTACGTTACTTCAATCGGACACAACAAGTAATTATCAAAAGACAAATGGCGCGAAATCATAGCGTGGATATTTTCGAAAGCTATCGGGATTTTTCACCATTCCAATCTGTACGAATGAGCTACTCCTGAAATCGATTTAAAGTCATCAATATCTTATATTTGGGTAACCATTAAAGAATAATTATCAGATTTTTTTTTAACCCATTTGGTTATTGCTATTTCCATACCAATATTTTAACAGTTATTATTTTTATCAATTTATAAAAATGAAACGAATGTTAACAAAAACCTTTTATCTAGTCCAGTTGCCGATTATTTCTCTTTATAATTATTTGTTTATTTATAAGTATGCATTAGTTTATTTTTGTTTTCTAATTTCGATTCCTCTAGAAATCAGAGAGAAGCAATCCTCATATTGTTTTGATACACTGAAAAGTACTGGATAATGATCCTTTCAATGAACTGACGTGTACTAAAATATACTTAACACTACTGGATTCAATGCAAGGTGGTTTTTTTTCTTAATTAAATGAACCAGGACTGACTGGTACTTACTCGCTCGCGGTAGCTAGTGTACTGAACATGTACTGAACAACCGAAAAAGATTTTGACATTTTTCCTTGCGGTAAATTCAGGTATTTAAGAGTTGTTTAGTTTAAAATGACCGTTTCAGTAGTAAAAACAGTAACTAGTGACAGCGCAAATGACTATTGATACAAAGGATCATCCGCCAATCAAATTAAGCCTTATAGGGGCCCCCTTAATTAGAGAAAAATAATAGATAAGGCCATTGAGGAACTATTAGAAGCTAATACGATTAGGAAATCAAGGTCGGCTTGGGCTGCATCAATTATTATTGTTTCGAAAAAAGATAAAACATCAAGGATGTGTGTTGATTATCGCACGCTGACGCAGCATCTATTTTTCTTTCCTCTTCCCCTGATTGATGACTTACTTGTTTCAGTAGGAAAAGCCAGAATGATGACCAGTTTTGATCTTAAGTCAGGGTATTATCAGATGAAGGTCAGGAATAAGACAAGGAAAAGACTGCTTTCGTGTGTCACAAGGGACCGGGGCCGGATTATTTGAATTTAATGTCTTACCGTTTGGTCTCGTTTCAGGGCCCAGTTTATTTAGTGAATTAGTGACAGAAGTATAACAGGACTAGAAGATTTTTTCAACCGCTTAGACA